TACACGCATTAAAGTCATTTAGTAGTTAGTACTAAATGTAATTATGTGTCTCTTTCTTTACTTGTATCCATGTTATACAGCTGTGTGTATCAGAGATAGGTTTTACATTATGTGTCTGTGTGTACAATTGTATCTATGTTATACAGCTGTGTTTATCAGAGACAGGGTTTACATTATGTTTCTTTTTGTACACTTGTATCTATGTTATACAGCTGTGAGTATCAGAGAAAGGTTATACATTATGTGTCTGTGTGTATACTTGTATCTATGTTATACAGCTGTGTGTATCAGAGATAGGTTTTACATTATGTGTCTATGTGTGCACTTGTATCTATGTTATACAGCTGTGTGTATCAGAGATAGGTATACAGGTCAATGTGCCAGAGATAGGTTTTACATTTTGTGTCTGTGTGTACACTTGTATGTTATTCAGCTTTATATGTCAGAGGTAGATGTGTACATAGATGTATGTGTATACATATGTGCTCATGTTATACAGCTTATAAAGGGACTCTATGTAATTCGCAGGTGATCACATATTGAAAAGATGGGATTCTGACGAGAAACTGTGCACAAGGAATATCAGGGTTATAAATCACTAGGTCACCGGAGCCATCGCATCTGGTCACTATTCCTTGTCATAATATGTGGTATCATGAACCTGAAATACTTGTATTTATTTGTTCTGGATCAGATTTGGAAACAAATAACAAATGATTATATAGAAAGCACATGTTTGATATTGAAATAATTATATGTGGCTGTGTTTTCAAGTCAGGAGGCATGTGATACAAATAACACGCCTCGATTCAGTACACATACAAAACTATTTGCATGAAGCGGTACGTGTCTCGACAAAGCTAAGTGGTAGGAAGGTTACCGTCCATTCTTACTGTTATTAATAGTAAGATCGTGATATAGGCAGTTGTATTACACAAGGAAGTTATATTTGTCATGTGAACAATATCGGTTTATGCAACAAGCATTGGCTATTTTCAGTAGGGGCTATGTGAAACCTCAGTTTCATTTGCAGAGGATGGTTTACTGAATGAAAGTACATTACTGAACGATAGAATGTTTGAATACGATAAAAGCAAGCTACAGGCGCATGCGAAGAACGTTTTAGGGGGATTTACCGATACTACAGGTAATATAGGAAGAGAAAGACAATTCGTTAAATTATCTATTTAGTAGTGCCAGGCATACTCAATACTTTCAGACAAAGAACAAGAGTTTTATTTTTTTTTAAATTACTTGCTCTTACATTTCAACTGCGATATTTATACGTCTAACACGTTTATCAAACAAAATCACAGGCAAATGAAGCAAAACCTATTTTAATCGTGTAGATGACAAAGAGGAACCTCCAAATGGTTTGTAAACTACTGTGATTAAACTCATACTAAATTATCAAATACCCAGGAATATTTAAATAAACGGTTTTCGTTAGAGGTTGTCATTAAAAAAGAAAACGAGGTGCCTGTCTTGATCACTTCCTCAGGCCCGCCAATGAAATACATTCTCACGTATTCTGCAACATTTTTAGCCAGTCGTTAGTTACATCTTTCAGGACAAGGAGGTTTGTAGTGCGACAAGACGAGTTACATTGTAGGTCATGTCAGTAAGTTACATCTATCAGGGCAAGGAGGTTTGTAGTGCAATAAGACGAGTTACATTGTGGGTCATGTCAGTTAGTTAATCTATCAGGGCAAGGAGGTTTGTAGTGCGACAAGACGAGTTACATTGTAGGTTATGTCAGTTAGTTACATCTATCAGGGCAAGGAGGTTTGTAGTGCGACAAGACGAGTTACATTGCAGGTCATGTCAGTTAGTTACATCTATGAGGGCAAGGGCGAGTTACATTGTTACAGAACAGAACGAGTAATGCATGATGTTACCACTGGAAGAATGAACAAATTGAGGAAAACAAAAAGAGGAAACAGAACTCCAGCCTTTAGTGTATACATGTCACAACGTTTGAGGTACAATTGAAGATGCTCTTCTATGAAGATATGGAAAAGCTTCATACTATTCTTGCTCTATGTTGTTTGGTCAGGGTTTCAGCATATTCAAGGCCCAGTAAAGCTTTCATAAACATTACGGTAGACATGTAGAGAACATTTCCAAGTTTGACGTATTTGGCCAAGAGGTATTACTTAAGCTTCAGGTTTATCCAGGATCTGATATCGTTCAATAGCCATATAAATAGCCAATTCCTTCCACTGATTTATTTCCCTGAACTAGAAATACAGGCGGCCAGTGAGGCCGCTTCATCTGTTTCACATTTAGATCTATGCATTAAGATGACAAGAGGGATCGACTTCCAATGTCCAAAAGTCAACTTCCCCTTCATGGCGAGCAATATTTCAGCAATTCCGTCTTTGGTGTTTACATTTCAAAACGTTTGAGATACAATCGAGCATGCTCTTTCTTCCAATGTGTAAGAGAGCTCAGAAGTTGTTTGATCCGGTTACATCTTTCAAAGCCTCAGAAAGGCTTTCACAACGTTGTATGGTAGACCCATGGGGGACATTTCCACATTCGGCGCATCAGTGACAAAAATAATGACTGATGCAAGTCCTTATAGTGACTTGTACCATAGGTTCCCGTGTGTTTTCTGATGAACAATTGACTTGCCGTTGTATGTGTTTGTGACGGGTGCAGGATACACCCACCTTTTCTCGAACACCTGGTATCATCACTATTTGAAAGTGATTCATAAACACATGATCATGAATAATCGGAATCGTACAATCGACTAGGCTTTCAACAGAGATTTCTATTGAATATGGAAAGGATTTTGTCGCTTCTATTATTCAGTGTGTGAGGAAATATAAGAATGTGAGATATACTCTGTCGTAAAATACAGGGTCAGCCGAGTTACACAACACACGTTGTCCTGTTATTGTGTCATAAGCTGTGTTCTCTTTTGGTTTGCTACGTGTTTGACAGAGTGTTTGCCCTCGTTACAACAAACATAGTTATAACCCTAAATTCTCTTGCCATGTCAGACTGAACTTACATTTAGTCAAATGTTTACGTATGCTTTCAGATTTAGACAATTTCAAAATGATGAAGTTGATAAAATGAGAAAATTTATTCTGTAAAAATCTCATTAACATCAAATCTTGACGCTGTAAGACAAAATGAAACATCAGCGAACATTGTATGGATCCTTTTTGATCTCTGGATACACTCTTTAATTGTACTTTACTTATTTTCAGTGGCAAGTTGATGGTATGTCACCATTTGCAGATTGGTATTAATACTGGACTGAAAAGCACTGAAATGTTTGAATATTGTTCCACAAAAACGAATGAACATTGGTGTTTAACATTCTTTATGAAAGCTTCATTTGAAGAAAACCCAAGTTAGAGTAGTCGGAATCTGTCTATAGTGGACTCTTTCTTATGATTATGGAAAAGATTTTGTCGCTTATAAATGTTTCTCTTCTCCAACTTTCAAGAAGCCTTTCAAAAAATTACGAAACGTTTGCATGTACCCATTCATCTACCTGCACATTAATGATCCGACGAAGCTGTGAGGTAATGATTACTTACACAATCATAATTTGCACATATCTTAAAAAGTACAATATGCGGGCTTGTTATTGTTCCATATTTCTATGCTCTACCACTTCCTTTCAATTTCATCTGGTTATGAGTAACCAAGTACAAAAGATGGTTTGTCATACGCCCACTGGTAGAAGAAAGTGCAGCAAACAGTAATTCCCAATCTAGTTCGTTTATGTTTTTAGTATCCAGCATCAATATGGATAAAGAAAGAAATACAGCTGGTGTAGTCTCCAAAAAATATAAATACATATTTGATAAATCATAGATTGAATAGGACTTAGTAATCAGTATTTGTGTATCAGTATAGATAACAAAATACAAGGTTGTTCAAAAAGAGACCTCGCAATATGAGTGAAGTGAAAATGACAGCGAAAATTAGTTATATCACTTTCTTGGTGGTATGTTTTTAATACCAAATGATAAGTCGCATCCTAAACCCTCAAAATGTTAAAATGATCACATGGGAAACAATCAATTTTGATCTGTAGCAAGTGACATGTTACATGATGGTATTTTCACAAAGAACAAAGTCTTAGATAATTATCTAGACACCCATCAAGGAAATTAAAAATGACCTACCCTAATGGCGACATTGGATAATTAACTCCCTGCCCAACGATTGGATAGAACATTCTGAAGATGTGTGTTGTCTGAACAGACATGTTTTTCTTTTTTAATATTGAGAGGTAAAACTATTCCTTTCGTCCAAACGTTCAGCACAGTTGCTGAGTTACATCTAAGAACCACTCAAACGTGGCATCTTTAGGATGACCAGACGGAGAGTCAACTTTTGTGCTTCTTCTGCCTCGCCTAAATTCAGTCCCCCATTTCATAACAGTTGAACATGACAGGCAGTCATACAGAGGCATGGTATCATATTTTCGCGTATTTACTTTGGGAACGTGTCCTTTTCATGCAGGTTCTTAACTGCAGCTCTTTTATTAGTTTACCTCATCCCTGTCAACATCTCTAACTGGCTTCCCGGAAACATATGCCATAATATCAGTCTGTAGCTATCACAACATGATAGTATCCATACAGGTGTTGAAAACTCACATTGAACAGTATCTATGAGATGACACATGAGGTTGGTTTGTTGTTTACCGCCGCACACAGCAATATTCGAGCTATATGACGGCAGTCTGTAAATACTCGTGTCTGGCCGAGACAATCCAGTGATTAATACCATGAGCATCGATCCAATTGGGATCGATGAGATGCATCAACCAAGTCAGCGAGCCTGACAACCCGATCCCGTTAGTCGCCCCTTACGACAAGACATAATCGCCTTTCACGGCAAGCATGGGTTGCTGAAGACCTATTCTACCCCGGATCTTCACGGGGCTGTATCTATGAGGTGACACTCTTTTCGATTTACCCTCTCATCAGGAAGGGTGTGCAGTCACGAGACGAGAAAGACTGGTG